GGGAGAATTGAGAGAGAGAGAGACAAACACACACACACACACAAAGAGGAGAGGGGAACTGCTGGGGCCGGCCCGTATTGAAGAATATGGCCGAATTTACCCGGGCTGGCCGTATATCGGCGTATAACACGCACACATCATTTGCCCCCTATTTTCAGGGGGGAAAAGTGCGTGTTATACGCCGATAAATACGGTACTTTGCTGGATGCTTACAACATTATTTTGAGATAGGACAAATGCATATACTAATAATTATCATATGAAAAAAGTATTCAAACTTGCTGGTTATTTCCCATTCTCCATAGCTGCTTACAGGCAACCACACTGAATCTCATTCCTTATTCCTGATTTGTCATGGCTCAGAAAATAAGTAGAATTGGGCACTGCTAATACTTTGATTATAAATGCCAGAGAATCCCTGAGCCACCGTCCAGATAAGAAGTTGAAGCAAGAGTGGTGGCACACCTTTGAAAAAAACAATGCAAACATTTTCTGTATTGTTATCAAGAAACTATATCAATCTATTCATGAAATCATTGGAATCAAACATGACTTGAAAAACTTTAGATTTGTACCTCAAGAATACATTTATATTAATCTTGAGACTTTAGACTTATACCTATACATTTTAGTCAAATGAAAACAGTAATTAATTGATGTAATTATAAAGAGTTATAATGACTTCACTCTTACAAAATTATGCATGGAAGTCTTCCTTTTCTTTTCTGTTTGAAAATTATTTTGGTGCTATTGTTCGATTTGAAATTGTTTGATTTGAAATATCTCCCAGATGGCAACTTCAGTGGGTTATTAAAAATAGTTTGAGATGCTTGTGATAACTCCCAGAATTTCTTTCAGAATGACATTTTAGTGCACACCTAATTTATTAGAAGATGAAAACCTAATTAATACATAACTTTCTCAGTTAATACATATTGAAGAATTACATTTATTTGTTTTAGATTATTAGAGAATGGAAGGTTTTCTCAGCATCAAGTATCTTTCAACTTTTAGAGATACTTGAATCACTTCAATGTTGAAGTATTATGCTGCAGTTGGTTAGGATATAATAATAGGAAAGTACTTAAATATATGGTTATGTTGAGGCTTGAAGGCATTATTTTATATCCCATGTGAATGTGTCTGTCTCCAATCCAATATGCATTTAAACTTAAAGCATTATTTTTGTTGATTTTCAGTCATTTTGCCCTTTTCCTTTCATGTTTGCCTTTTTCTTTTCTTTCTCTTCCCTTTTCCCTTTATTTGCAATTTTCTCTAATGCCTTTTTTAGGGGAAAAAGTGGCTCAGACTGATTCTGGGAAATCAGGGTGTTCATGAGCGTCAGACATGGTTGTGCATGACAAAGAGTACTTTGCTTTCTAAATATTTAAAAGTAATATTTCTATAATGTTTCAAATTCAAAAATGTTGGCAAATGAAGAAATATTCAGCCCACTGTGAATTTTAAAATTTACAGACAAATCTCTAGTTAAATTATAGATTTATTTTGAATGCCTCAACTTGTATATTGACATTTTAATCTGGGAAATAAATATTGTGAAACTCCTAAATAAATTCTGAATGATCCTATATGCATGCCTTTTAAATTGTTCATTCCAGTTTTAACTTGCAGGTTACCTAAACTAGACAAATAATTTACACTCATTTGAAGCTACAAGAGATATGCTATATAGCTATGAAGTATATGCTAGATAGTTGTGAAGTATCACATATAAAAAACTATAAGTGGTGCCTATGCATTTATAAATTTTTTATCACTCCTGGATCCCTTCTGAAGTGACTCATTAACATTCTTGAGGTATGACTCTGTAAATACAGTATTCAGGCAATAATCTTATTAACCCTTATTTTACAGAAACAATGCAACTGTTTTTCAGCAATTGTGCTTTGAAAGTGTTCCAAGTGTTACATAATAGGAATTTGTGAGGTACTTGTCACTTGAGATATCAGGTTGCCATTCTTTTCTGTAAAGCAAGAATTTGAAAGAGAAAAAGTCAGGTTTCTGAGGCAACAAAGCTATCAATCAAACAGTGGAAGGGTTCTTTTAAGACAGAAAAATACTCAACCACCTTGTTTTTAAAAAAAGCATCCACCCAAGAGTCCTTTATTTCCCCAAATCTGAAGCTTCACAGAAAAATAAAAGAGAGATGGGGGGGGGGGGTTATTAGCACAATGAATTTTATTCCCTGTGAATATATCAACCAAATAAACTACTCTTAACTTTTTAAAACTAGCCCTGTCTTCTCCATGCCTTAGTTTCCTTGTAAATGCCACATTAACTGACCTCTTGTGGAATAGAATGAGTCATCAGCAGTTAGAAAGCCAAGAGGAGCACAAAGAAGAAATGTTGAAGGGATCATATTACTTATCAGCAGGTTCCAGACTATTCTGGGGCAATATTCAGCATTGTCTGCTTCCGGGAGAGCTGTAACTTACCATTTCATGAAACAAAACGTTGTGGTCCTTCTGTGAACAGAAGAATTTTTTTGCTTGCCAGAATTTATAAAATCTGAATATTTAGAGGAAAGTTACTACTGACTCCGTGTTCCCTATATTAACCCAAAGAAGCCTGGAATACAAAATGGAAACAAATGTGGCTAGAAAGGTAATGTGACTGCCTCTATTTTCACACATCAGTAAAATTAAAAATACAGCTGTACATTTTTTTTAAAAAAAAAATAACGTTGCACATTTAGATGAAATCACTAAGGTTTGTCTACAAGATGCAGTAAAGTAGTACTAATGAATGCAGACATTTCCTTCCTTTCCAATATTATAAAAGTTTAATATAATGGAGCGTTAAAGGGAAGGGACATTTGTTAAATCTAAGTTTCTGTCTTTGATGTAATTCACACTATTTGCATTTATATAATTTGTAGACAAATTAGTGAAAATGACCTAAAAACAAAATATACATTTATACAAATGATGTAAATTGATGTACACGAGTCTCTTGTCTGAATTGCTTTGGAAAAAATGAACTGTTAATTGTTAATTGTATTTGGTGTTGGGGAGTCTAAATAAAAAGTATGGCATCCAGTCTGAACAATTGAGGCTTTAATACAATGTTATTTGAAAGAATTTTATGTGTAGACTGGGGGAACATCATCTCTACAGCAATGATTCTAGTTAATCAGTTTGCCTGAGAGTCAAAATGTGGTATTAATTCCCCTTGTTGTCAAACTTGCTAGTAAAGTTGAATATATTTTCTTGTGTTTCTTGTGTATGTGTATTTGGTAGGGAAAAATGGAAGTACGAATTTCAAAATCTCTCTCAGAGGGTGAAGAAGTAGCTATAACTGCTCGGAAGAAAAAGGTGGAAAAAGCTCTTGCTAAGCTTGGGATGCAATGTGATGTGGTAGGTTTTCATTAATATGTCTACCTGAGAGTCCCTAGTAACAAACCATGATAAATGCTACAAAGTCTCTGAAGATCTTTCATCTAATGAAGTCAAAATTTAAGCAATTGTTTAATTTAAAAGACTTTCTATGTTACTACCATCCCATTTCCCAGCTCTTTGAAAGCCACATTTAATTGTTATTAGAGTATTTCCAGAATTACCTTTTTCCAGGTTTATGGCAGTGTTTAAAGTGTTAAATACATCTCCCAGACAACCATATACATACAGGTTGAAAAAAATCTACATGATGGTAGGAAACAAGAGAGAGGTACTGCTTTCTTCATCTCTTTGCTCCTATCTCATGATCATCCAGAGATTTTCAGCTCAGATATGGTAGTCATGATCAGCTTTGTCCATTTCTCCATAAACTTCCCCAGGTTTTGATTTTTTTCCTTCATTTCCTCTTACCAAGGGGATTGAAGAATGCCTCCACTTTAATAAAGCATCTGCAATTTATCTGGCAATAAACAATAAAAAACAATAAAATATAGAGAGCAAGGGAAAGTGATAAAAGAGGGATTGTAAGAAAATTCTTTGATTCTTGGGTCAAGGTGTAGAAATTTGCCTGCATCTATTGAACTTGTCATAAGGCAGTTGAATGATTAAAAGAAAATCTGAGAGGCAGAATAATAATTTTCTGGGAAATAAGTGTTACATTCATTAGTTGCAGAGATATGGCAACTAAGGAAATATTTCCCTTTTTAATTAGGAAAAATGATGGGAGAGGGTGAGAGTTTCCAAAGCGAGAAGTATGATGAAAATAGATGTTAGTTGATGATACATTCCTTTGGAAGGGTAATACAGCTGCATTCTTAAAATTCAAATTTGCAAATTATTTCTTTGAAATTCAGGTGTTGCTTTATTGCTATATTTCACGGGGGGGGGCGTATATTAATTGCAAGCAAAAATGTCAGCTATGCACTACTAAAAATACTATATATTAAGCTATGTTTGTTGTTAAATAGCTTTAAAATAAATTATGCAAATATCAAAGTATGCAACCTACTTGAATGAAAATAATATTTTTTAAAAGATTTGAATATACAGAAGTTACTTATTGAATGCTAGATCTATGAAGCACTGAAAATTGTCCAGAAGAAGTGCCTTGAAAAAGTAATTTACTTCTCTGTTGTTTATTTAAAAAGCTCAACTGTTTTCAAGCTTCCACATGAGCCTGAAAAAAGAGGAAGCTGATTTAAGAAGTCATCTCAAATGTAATGCAGTTCTTAAAATAGCTATATTTTTCTTCTCCCTTTCGTGTCTTATAGTATTCTGAAAAAATGAGCTGCTTTAATAAATAGTAGAAAAGTGCTGCATTTATGCTCATGTTTATTATGAAGTATTTTTTCTGAATCATTGTTAAACAAGTTTCAAGTACAGCCCTATTAAATGCCTACTTATATTCTTAAATATAAGAATCTCAGCAAGTTGTAACCCCTTGCTGACCGTCTTTGATTTTGAAAACTAAAGAGATTTGGACAGAATAGTACTGATAAAAGAGTACTAAAGAATCAGATGATTATTAAAAAAAAATCTAGGTAGAAGGCAAGAGCAAACCTGTAGTATTCTGTTATCCAATAAATTGGATGGATTCCATGAAATAATAATAAGGAATTGTACTTAATTCATAGGAGACATGATCTTTATCTTCCCTTTTTGATCCCGTTAGGAGAACATCCCCAATATTGCTGTCCTAGGAGCAGGAGGAGCTATGAGGGCTATGATTGCACTGTATGGCACTCTAGTAGAACTGAGGAACTATAACCTTTTGGACTGTGTCATGTACTTGGGTGGGGTGTCGGGTTCTACCTGGTAAGTCTATGTTACCATTTTTGTGTAATAATTAAGATATCAGGCTTGAAATTAGGAGAGTATAAGTTCTAGTGCTGCCTTACACACAAAACCAGCTAAGTCAGGGCCCCCCAACCCCTGGGCCTTGCGCTGTTCAGAACTGAGTCACGGAAGCTGTGGGTGAGCATGTGTGTGCTAATCCCCACTTGCCCAAGCAGTAGGGCAAGCAGCGAGCATATGTGCACATGCTCTATTTGCCTGAGTGGCATCCCCACTTGCGTAAAGCAGTGGGTGAGCAGCAGGGGAGCATATGTGCACACACTTCATTTGATCACCACTTGTGCAAATGGAGCTGTACAACTGTGTGAGCTTGCTGGCCACTCACATGGCCCCCTCCTCCTCCCCCTGCCTGTCCACAAAGCCAGAAAGATTGGGAAATACTGAGCTAAGTGACTCTGGGCTAGTCTCTCTCTCTCTCTCTCTCTCTCTCTCTCTCTCTCTCTCTCTCTCTCTCTCTCTCTCTCTCTCTCTCTCTCTCCCCTAGAAAAAAGGCAGTGGTAAATAATTTCTGAGAAATCTTTCTAAGAAAACTGGAGGGACTTGTCCAAGAATTGAAGATGAAGAAAGAAAACCTTTTACACTAACTCAGAATATAGATTTATTGGTTGTGACACAGACTATTACATGAAACTAGTGAAAATGATTTATCAATAATTGTTTATGATTTAAATTAGTGTAGGAATCCAGCTAATTGTGTTTTTTTATTAACAAGTCCTGCTGAAGTATACTAGATGTTAGCAAAATGTATAAATCTAGAAAGATGAAACCTTTAGAAGCCAATTTAAATTAACTGAATATACACTGGCTCTTCAATTAACAATATTAATCTGTCCCCATTTTTTTCTGTCTCTTTTCTAAAAAAAATTGGAACTATTCTTGTAATTTCACACTAATTTTGTTTGTCTAGAGAAAAGAAACACAAGGCAGTGTCATTTCACTTTGAAGTTACCTTCATTAAAACAAAAAAACCTCTCAAGAGCCCCTATGAAAGTAAACACAGGGTCAGTCATAAAGGACTCAAATGTCTATACACCAATGCACAGAGTATGAAAAGTAAACAGGGTGAACTAGAAATTCATTTTAATGAGGGCAGATATGATATTGTTGCCATTATGGAAACATGGTGGGATGAAACCCACACATGGAACACACAGCTAGAGGGATTTAAATTATTTAAAAGAAACAGACCAAATAAAAGAGGAGGTGGAGTCACTCTATATATAAGAAATAACTACATCTCTATAGAAATAGAGCACAACAATGATAAAAACTGTCTTGAATGCATTTGGGTCAATACAAAATGGGAAAAAATGACATTGCCATAGGTGTATACTACAGGCCACCCAACAAAACAGAGGAAATAGATGAACTTTTTGCTAGTCAGCTAACTGAGGTATTTAGGAAGCACATCACAATAGTAATGGGGGACTTTAACTACCCTGACATCAACTGGGAGACAAACTCTGCACCAAGTGGAAGATCAAACAGGTTCCTGGCAAACCTAGCAGACAACTTTGTCTCCCAAAAAGTAGAAAAGGGAACTAGGGGATTAGCCATTTTGGATTTAATTCTCACTAACAGAGATGAAATGATAGAAGATGTTGAAGCCATAGGAACTTTGGGAGAAAGTGATCATGCAATATTGGAATTCAACATTATGGAAGCACAAGCAATAGAACACAGTCAAACTAGAGTCTTGGACTTCAAAAGAGCTAATTTCAATAAACTTAGAGAGGGTTTGGGAAGGATTCCATGGATGAGAATCCTCAATGGGAAAACAACTCAAGAAGCTTGGGAAATTTTGAAAAATGAGATAATAAAAGCCCAGTCTAGCACAATACCAACAAAGAGGAAAAATAACAGCTTTCAAAAGAAACCAGCATGGCTGCATAAAGAACTCTCTGACAAATTGAAAGATAAAAAGGACAAATATAGAAAGTGGAAAGAGGGGCACATAACTAAGTCAGAATATCAGCAAATAGTCCGAGCCTGCAAAGATGAAATGAGGAAAGCTAAGGCTCAAAATGAACTGAGGCTTGTGACCAAAGTCAAAAATAACAAAAAAAGCTTCTTTCAACATGTAAAAAACAAGAAAAAAGTGAAGGAAATGATTGGTCCATTAGTGGGTGAAAGTGGCAAGAAGGTGACAAGCAACAGGGAGAAAGCAGAACTATTTAACTCATTTTTTTGCATCTGTCTTTACACAAAGGGTAAAAGCAGACCAACATATCAAAAATAGTGCCATAAAAAACAGAATAGAAACACAAGCTAAGATAGGCAAGAAAATAGTAAGTGAACACCTGTCAAGCCTAGACAAGTTCAAATCGCCAGGACCAGATGGATTATACCCCAAGGTTCTCAAAGAACTGGCAGATGTGATCTCAGAACCACTGAACTATATTTTTCAACGATCTTGGAGCACTGGGGAACTACCAGAGGACTGGGAAAGAGCTGATGTAGTTTCCATCTTCAAAAAAGGAAAAAAAATGGACCCAGGAAATTACAGACCTATCAGCCTGACCTCAATACCTGGGAAGATTCTGGAAAACATAATCAAACAATGAATCAGCGAACACCTAGAGGCAAACAAAGTCATTACTAAAAGCCAACATGGGTTTGTCAAAAACAGATTATGCCAGACAAATCTTATTGCATTCTTTGACCAAGTGACAAAATTAGTGGATCAGAGGAATGCTGTGGATATAATTTACTTGGACTTCAGTAAGGCATTTGATAAAGTAGATCACAACCTACTACTTGACAAGATAGAAAAATGTGGGGTAGACAGCATTATCACATGGATCCCTAGCTGGTTGTCCGGCCGTACTCAGTGTGTGGTCCTCAATGGAACTACATCTACATAGAGGGAAGTGTGTAGTGGGGTGCCCCAGGGCTCTGTTCTGGGCCCAGTGCTCTTCAACATCTTTATCAACTATTTGGAAGTAGGGGATAGATGGGGAACTCATCAAATTTTCAGACGATACCAAGCTGGCAGGAATAGCCAACACTCCAGAAGACAGGCTTAAGATACAGAAGGATCTGGACAGACTTGAACATTGGGCACTATCTAACAAAATGAAATTTAATGGTGAAAAAAGCAAGGTTCTATATTTAGGCAAGAAAAACCAAATGTATAGGTATAGTATGGGGGGTACCTTGCTCAATAGTAGTAACTGTGAGAGGGACCTCAGAGTCCTAGTGGACAATCACTTAAATATGAGCAAGCAGTATGCTGCAGCTGCCAAAAAGGCAAACACAATGCTAGGCTGTATTAACAGAGGGGTAGAATCAAGATCACGTGAAGTGTTAATACCACTTTACAATGCCTTCTTAAGGCCACACTTGGAATACTGCATCCAGTTTTGGTCACCATGATGTAAAAAAGATGTTGAGACTCTAGAAAGAGTACAGAGAAGAGCAACAAAGATGATTAGGGGACTGGAGGCTAAAGCATATAAGGAATGGCTCCTGGAATTGGGTATGTCTAGTTTAATGAAGAGAAGGACAAGGGGGGATATGATAGCAGTGTTCCAATATCTCAGGGGGTGCCACAAAGAAGAGGGAGTAAAGCGCCTGAAGGCAAGACAAGAAGCAACGGATGGAAGCTAATCAAGGAGAGAAACAGCCTAGAACAAAGGAGAAACTTCCTGACAGTTAGAACAATTAACCAGTGGAACAACCTGCCTCCAGAAGCGGTGAATGTTCCAACACTGGAAGTTTTTAAGAAGAAACTGGGCAGCCATTTGTCCGAAATGGTATAGGGTTTCCTGCCTGAGCAGGGCATTGAACTAGATGACCTCCAAGGTCCCTTCCATCTTATTATTATTATTATTATTATTATTATTATTATTATTATTATTATTATTATTATTATTATTATTATTATTATTATTATTATTATTATTATTATTATCTTGTGCTAAAATAGCCAGTGTTAAATAGAAGAACCTGATTCTTCATCAGGTTCTTCATACTGATTCTGCCTACCTTTTATTTTTGTATTCATGTCTGCTGATTAAAATAAAAGTTTAAGGTATTCTGACCTAATAATGTGGCTTGCAAATAATTAGACAGCAACGTATCATAGTAAATTGACATATTTTTATGGCATGAATTTTTTTGGGGGGGATATAGCTTCATTAAATGCATAAAAGATTGTCCAGCATTCATATGTAAGCATGTATTGCACAAATATACAATGTTAAAAGCCCGTTAAAACATACTTTTAAAGCTTTCTTTAAAATCATATTTGCATTCCAATTTTCTATATAAGTAGAGAATTTCACTTACAGTTACTACTAAAGAGTTAGCGAACTCTATGTTTTCTCTAATATTTAGAATTTTGAGAGTTTTATTCTTACATGAATGTAGTTTTTGTTCTTATGAGAATGAAAATCAGATTTCAGACTCCTTATTTTACAGCATTGGCGGTTAAAATAAAATAAACTCTTTGAGGGTGACTTCCATGCACTTTTCCATTATTCTAAAGACATTTGGCCTGTTCTTTTCAAAGGTGCTTGCCAGCCCTATACAAAAATGAAGATTGGTCAGAAGAAATAGAGGATCTGAGTAAATGTCAGTTTGAAAATCTTATCCAAGGCCAATGGGATTTTAATAAAGCAATGAAAGCTGTTCTAGAGTCTATAGAAGATGAATGTTACTCTCTCACTGATTTCTGGTCCTATTTTCTTGTGCATAAACTGCTAAATAAGGTAGGTGAAAAACAATATTCAGATTTCTTTGATAGTTAAAACAAATGAACAGCCTTTTCTGACTCTGGGTCCCACTGGATGATCTCGCCTGATGCCCTAGGAATTCACACTCATATTGGTCATGTTCATGAAATCATATTCATGAAAAATATAATGTAGTATAATAAGTATAGTACAATGCATTACATATAATGTAACGAATATCATTTAAAAATAGGACACCCATATCTTCCTGCATGTCAGGAGTCAAAGTAATATCTCCCTTAAATACAGTAATGAACAGTGAAAAGAAAAAAAGTAATTAAATGAAAATAAATTTATTTCAGTTGGAGGAAGAAAAATTATCTGAACGTGCTGGATCCTGTGAGAGTGGAAAAAATCCTTATCCTATCTATGCAGCTGTGAACAAGCAAACTTATGAAAATCAAAATGTAGGTAAGTATGCTTGTCTATATATGCAGATTTTGATGTTTAGCAGACGAAAATTGTTCAAGTCACAAGTTCTTACTTGATCTAGAAATAACTGTTCCTTTTTTTTTTGCTACCACTAATGTTAAAAACACTAATGCCAAATTCTAAAAAACAATTGTTCGAAGCTTCTAAATGAGACATTTGCAAATAATACTATTATGCTTATTAGGGATCAGAAATATATTAGTGATTTATGCCTCACATAGTGCAGCAAACTTCTACAATAATAATTTTGTGGTTGAACTTTTCCACTGGCAATATCTTAGCCACAACAAAGTGACTAACTGAATGACATTTCCAGTTCTTCTGTGTACATCTGGAAAAAAATAGTTATAAACACATGATGACACTATTGGATCAGAGCCACTGTACATGCTGCAAATGAAATTTAATTTCTTCTGTATCCCATGTATTTCTACAGTAAATTCTAAAAAAATGGGGAGTTAATAGTCTCTATCTAGATGCCATGATAAGAATAGGCAAATCTACAATAAATCATGGTTCTAATCTTATTCTTAATCTTAATCAAAGTCTTGGCCTGTGTAGACTTGGGTAAAGTCCAGGTAATAAATCAAATTTTACTGATTTTATTAGAATGCTAATTTTCACATTTTTTGCTGTAATGTTTTCAGGTACCTGGTTTGAGTTTACTCCTCATGAGGTTGGAATTCCTGGATTAGGAGCCTATGTAGACAGCAAATACTTTGGGAGCATATTTAAAAATGGGCAGCTAATCAGAGAGAAAAAAGAAAAAAATATTTGTTATTTGCAAGGTACGTCATCTGAATTTTTGTCCTTCAAACAAAGGAACATTTTTGTATTTGCATAGCTCCTTAATGCAAATGCAGAGAGGGAACATGTTCCTGAAAATTTAAAATATGTAGTTCAAACAAATCATTTCATCAAGGGTTCTGTGGAATAAGTTGTTTAAGAACATAACCAAGAGCTATTAATAATAATCCGAGGTACAAAGAAAGGATGGTGTATGGCTACATTTCCTTCCCTTTTCTGTGTTATATGATATAATTTTGTTTTGTTTTTTTAAAAAATGGATCTTTTATAAACACTAGATTGTAATATGGGGGGTATTTTTCTTATTTTTAGGTTTATGGGGGAGTGCCCTTGGAGGCAAGCAAGAGATTTCAAAGACTATATCAGGTATTGCTCTTTTTGTGCTTGGATTAGTGTGATATTAAATTAGTCCAGGAGTCAGGGGAGATCACAAAAAATCCATGTACATGCTGAGTTATATATATTGAACCAACTGTCTCTTTGCAACCTTAGAGCCTATGATAGTAGCTTTCAAATCTTTAAGTCTATGAATTCCATTATCTGTAATCATATGGCTAAGGCTTATGAATGTTGAATTCCAAAATATCTGGAGAGCATAGATGTGCTCACCCCGGTCCTAAGGAGTCAAAGATATGGAAGATATGTTCTACGTTGCCAATAGAAAAGAATATATGTAGCTCAGAGTTGAACTCTGGAGGCCTTGGTGTACTTTGAGCTTCTTTTTTTCTTGTATATGTTTTATTACCTGACTATTGTTATCTCCAGATATAAAAACCCAACAATTGCATTTTCCAGATGTGTTCTTACACCTTCTTTCTTTCTGTAATTATTGTAGTTATAAATAGTGAACAAGTCAACTCTAATAGTCTTGAAAGCCTTTCTAGTAGTAAATAGACGAATTTAGTTGATTCTAGGCTCCTATTTCCTTGTTTCTGATGCAAATTTTCAATGCTGGGTATAATGTACAGTACCTAGGGTAGCAGAATTTCCAGGTTTACACAAATATATCACTAATTATTATAAATGCCAGGGAAGTGTTATGGGTAAAAGAATCAATTATAGAGAAAGCCCAACATTTTGGCAACATATTGACTAAAGCATGTTTCTGGTTGTTGAAAATTATGTTGCAATATTGTGCTAGAAAAAGTGAACTATTATAGCTAAGAATGTATTCATTTATCTTTTAAGATGCTTTAAAAGATTTCGGAAAATATAAGAGATCAGAGGACCTTACTTCAAAAGATTCAGGTAAGGTTTACAGCAAATGTGTCCCTTTCTTTCACTTTTCCCCCCTAGCATTTTCTGCTGTTTTTCAGATCAATCAAATGTTGATCCATAGGTTGCAATAGGAATTCACCTAAGCCTGATATCATGGGCTGAGAGAGAATGACTGGCACAAAGTCAACCAGCTGGCTTTCGTGCCTAAAGCAGGACTAAAAACAAAGTCTCCTGATTTCTAGCCTGGTATCTTAACAACTAGACTAACCGGTTCTTCTCTTTCCTTCACTTTTCCTCCCTACATCTTTATTGTCTAATTTATGTGAAAGTCTAAGTCTGAAGTGGTCAAGCTGAATTTATCCAAATGACCAAATTGTTCATGATTGACTCTAGCCAAACTCTCTATTACGAAGTTTTTGTGAAGAAAAAATGAGGGGAAGATCATATAGGTGCCATTTAAGTTTCTGGAGGAAATAAATCAATGTACTAGTAGTCTATTATACAAAATGTGTCTGTATGAAGAATTATTTTCTAAATCTACAGGTTAAACAGAAACAAGAGTGATCAACCTGTGTCTTCTAGATGTTGCTGAGCAACAATTTCTAGCTAATTGAAATTGCTTGATGGCTAGCTGGATTTTCAGAAGCCCCTAATTAGTTTAGAATAGTATTTCTTCAACTTCAAATTATAGAGGTTCACAAAAGAGCTTTTGTTTGTATGTAAATTTATCAATATTTATTGTATTAAAATTAACTTTAATGCAGTAGCTGCCAGTACCACTTCTCAAGATTATAAAATGAGATTTTGATATGTATTATTTCTTTAATGTTTAATTTTCATTTTACAGACTGCTTGACTTGAGGTTCCCAGACCATACTTTGACAAACAGTGGTCTCTCATATGGGCCCAAGGTCCTTGAGAAAAACAGAATTTGGGAGCTGTCAGGATGAACCCAACATATATGTCTTAAAAATTGAAAGGAATGACAAATACATTTGTTATTGTCCTCATTAATAGGGTGATATTTTGATATACTGCCTGATCACTATAATGGATTAATAGTCTTTATTTTATACTAGCATTCATCTCTTTTTGTTTTATTGTCCTACCCCAATGTAAAAGTAAAGTAATAGATTCTGTGTTCTGTCGTAGTAAAAGTACTCTATATGCTCTTCAACTTAATCTTGCTTAATATTAATCTTTAACAATTTTGAAATGTTATGTGATAACCCAATGGACAGTGCTCTAATAATTACAAGGGTGCTATTAGAAAAAGCAAGGAATTACCAGATCTATACAAAACTCTAGATCACTTTTCTAAAGCACAGTTTGTTGATATCAAAGCATAAACATACCAATTTATATTTTTAATGGATTGATTGGTTTTGTTTTATTTACTTACCTAATTCTCACCTAAATAAGTAAATTACAGAAAAAGATTTCTGTGTGAATTGCTCCCATATTCAGGATATTACTCCCAACATTCTGTATACTCACTAAGTATACCCAGTCCCCTTTGGATTTTTGCTAAAAGGGGAATGTTCCTTGAAATTTCTTGTTCCTTCAGTTTTTAACAAAAATTGAAAGCCATTTTTGACTAAAAAGTGACATTTATAGCTTGAACACAGAGAAATGTTAATTTCTCATGTCTTCATTGCTTGTTGGGAGTTAAGGAATTATGAAATAAAAATATGAAAAAGAATTCTTCATCCAAGATTACTGTTTTCACAAGGGGTGAAAGGTTTGGTTATTTAAGTAAAGTGCCTGCCCAAGACACATGTTATCTGATTCTAGAACAAGGCAGAATTTTTATTGCTATTTTCTTGTGCTGCAGCTGCAAAAAAGCCAATGCATTTCTAGGCTGCAGCAATAGAGGGATAGTATCAAAATCATGTAAAGTGCTTTATACTGCAATGGTAAGATACTGTATCTAGTTTTGGTCACCATGATTCAGAAGAGATGCTGAGATTCTAGAAATAGTGCAGAAAAGAACAACAAAGATGATTATGAGACTGAGAGCTAAAGCAAATGATAAATGGTTGCTGGAACTAGGTATATCTAGTTTAATGAAGAAAGGACTAGAGGTGACCTGATAATACTTCCAATATTTGAGGGGCTGTCACAGTGAAGAGGGAATCAACCTATTCTCAAAAAGGGCAGGATAAGAAATAATGGATGGAAGTTTATAAAAGATAGATCCAACCTAGAATTAAGGGAAAAATTCCTGTCAGTAAGAACAATTAGTCAGTGAAACAGCTTGCCTCTAGAAGTTGTAGGTGCTCCATCATGGAGGTTTTTGAGAAGACAGCCATTTATCTGGAATGGTATAGGGTCTCCTGTTTGAGGAGGGGATTGGAGTAGAACCTCCAAGGTCCCTTCCAACTCTACTATTCTGTTAATCTGTTATTCTTATCTTTTCAATTGTCAAGAAACAGACATTAAGAAATTAAATACACTCTATGAATGCTATCAGACACTCCTGGATCTTCAATTATTGGAATCTACAGATAAAGAAGAACTAGATAAACTTGATCATCTAGAAAATATCTTGAAAGGTAAGTAATATGAACCCCATATAAAATAAAGGTTGGGGGCAGGATGGAAATGCAGAAGCAAACAAAATCTTATAGGATCTTTTCACAATCATTGTTGAAGGAGCTTTATGGGTCTCTTGGGGAATAGTGTTCCAAAGGGAAGACAACTTGACAGGTCAAATATTTTCCATTTTGGATCAACAATTTAACAACAAGTGTGCACAATAAAGATTTCTAAGAGGACAATTTCCCTGAGAAAATATGAGTTATATACTTTACATCATCTACCTAATTCCTAAGAAAATGTGACCATATCAAGGTCTCTAATAAAGATTTTAATAAACCAGAGTGGGGGTGAGGAATATTCAAAAGCAAGTGCCATGCAATATAAACATTTCATATGTCATTTGACTTACAATTAATTTATATTGCAAAAGTGTAATCCAGAAAATTAAAATTAACTTCAGGCCTAAGAAACCAAAATTACCACCCATTAGAAGAAAACTCATTTTTAAGTATTGAATGGTCTATAAATGCTTCAGAGTCAAAATAAATAAATGTATCTCAATCTAACACCATTGAATAAAATGTGCTACTATCTGTTAAAAATCTGATTGCAACTTTAGTTGGCCCAGTTTTCTTTTAAACTCATAAAAGTTTAAATGTTTAAATAATTAGTAATTATTTTCTGTTTATTCTGCTGAATGCTAAAACATTGAAACGAATCTTGATGATTTAGATGAACTGAATTAGCTTGCCATCTTAAAATGCTTCCTTGTAAGCCCAAACCAAATGTAAATTTAGGATACTTCTTGCATGGAATGTGCTTACTAAATAAAACAGGATAAAAAATAAGATGTGTAGCTTTTGTGTAAAATTTGTAAAAATAAAGCGAATATCATCAGTGGGGAAATTGCTGCTCCAACAGCATCTTTAGCTTTGACTCTAACTGAATGTAAAAGAATATATTTTTGAGAAGGCATAAACAGAAATGCACTGTTAATTGGTTCAATTGGTTTACCTCTGTGTACTTGCTACACCATATAGTTTGCTGCCTAAAAAAAAAAGCATTTTGTTTCCTGCTGCTTAATTCACTAAAGTTCTCATCTTCCATTTCCATAAAGATTATAGTTCCAGCAAAAGCTATCAGTTGATCAGAGAGATGCATGAGACATGGAGTTCTGCAGATGAACAGAGAAAAAAGGAAAAGTATATGATATTATTCCAAACTTTGGATGCTGATTTTGGAGGCAAGTGGTTGTCATGTTGCTTCATTCTTCTTCAGAGCCTCTGGTTTTCTTAAGGCGATCAGAATTTATTGATATTTTTTTTAAAATAGAAAAAAATTACACAATCTATCAATGGGATAGAATATTAGGATACTTTATAACTTACAGAGTGGCAAAAAGAACAGCATCTGAGAAAGAGTAGACATGAAAAAGATATCTTAAAGATATGAAATGGCTTCTTTAATGTTTTGTGTTATTTCTTTAATAGATGTACAAATCACCTTACAGGTTCTAGGTAGCAAACAATGAAACATGGTACAAAACCCATATTTAGATTTATAATTATTGGAAAAATACTGTAAGCGATCATAAAAATGGTGTGGATCTTCCACTAGTGATTTATTCACTAAAGGCTTTCTGAAAAAGCTGGGTTTTAACAAAACACAATTAAAAGGGTTGAGCGAAGACTGAGATTTCATTGTCATAGCAAATTAATTTCAAGTGAACAATCATCTTGGACACATATACTTTTAAAATTTTCCATAAGAACTCCAATAGGGTTTTACACTGAGTCACTGGGAGAATTCACTTCTGAGACTTTAGATTGCAATGGAATAACCAACAGATGTTAATCATGTTTTTGTGGGAGGCTGGCAAAATAATAAATATATTCCATATATTTTCATATTTCATGTTCCATTTCTTTATTTCTTAATAATTTAGTACCATGTGTTAAAAAAGCAACATTTAGGTTTCAAAGGTAAAAAAATGAATGGGGAATAGCTGGAATTTCAGCTATTTATAATTTTATTTTTTTTATTTCTACCTTTCACTGTTATCCTTTTAGATTTTACCGATGACTCCAATAAGATGTATTTTAAAATGGTGAAAAAGACATGTTTATGCCTTTTGAATTGGTCATGGGGAACCATCAATAATTTCCTGTACCATTGTTGTAAGTTTTTATCCTTATTGTACTAGTCATTTTGTATACTGTAAGATCACAACTGAGAAAATTATCACACTCTTGCATTAAAAACACAGTATATATACAGTACATCTTGGGGATATCATCAAAATATCTTCCCATTTGCCATTTATTCCTGTGTCCTTATAGAAGAACTGGAAAATACTCAGTATAGGAAATTTTACACTGGATGTCATCTAACAATATGTGTAACATGAATTTCTCTTCAAGAAGGGAGAGGGAAGAGAGAGAAGCAAGAAGGATTACTTAAGGTAGTGCCAATGGGGAAAATAATAGCTGTTTCCCTTTGGGCTAGGATCCTCCTCCTTTTTTACTTGATAGGCAATATACCTGCCAAACAAAATTCTTTTGCAGAAAAATGTTCCTATCTAATTGACTTCTGTAAGAGTATGTTCTAAGCATTCCATACTCATAGCAGTGCTTCTACAGGAATGTGCTCTGTCTACTTCCCAATTACATACATATGTTCTCCAGTCACTTACTGACAAACAATTTAAGTGATGTTAGATTTCAGTTAAAATATTTAGTGATGTCAGGTTTCTTGCCCTACAGCCACTTGAACATCTTTGTTGGTGTGTGTATAAAGAGTTATTCTCATCTATAACGATTGATTTTTTTTTAGAAAGAATGAGATATGTGAAGATCATTTGAAAGATCATTTGTATTTTAAAGAAAGATCATTTGTATTTTAAAGAACTGAGTATCATTTTAAAAAATAGAAAAGACTTGCTGTCCTTTGTAGGCAAAGACGATGCAAACATGCAAAGCATCAAGATATTCAAAATGATTTGATCCATGTCATTCATGTCTGCTTTGATCCCAAACAGGCTGTATTTCATATATTATAGGCTAGTGGTGGCGAACCTATTGCATGCGTGCCAGACGCGGCACTCAGAGCCCTCTCTGTGGGCACACACGCCATTGCCCCAGCCCTGCCTCCCCCCACGGCCCCCTCCTCACCAACATCCCCCTTAGAGGAGAGTCACCCCTGAGCATGGCCCGTGCGGAGCAGCATAGCCAATGATATGGTAGTCAAGCGGCAGGGACAAGACTCCATCCTCACGCCCCGTCACGCGCAGTTGATGCTATGGGGTGCGGGCGGAGGTCGTGGCCACCATAGTGCTGCTGGGCCACCTGGGCAATCTGCGGCAGGCTGTGGAGGCGGTGAGTGGCCCTGTGGGTGGGCGGGATGGGGATAGAGCGGGGCGGGGTGGGGGCAGGGCAGGGCAGAGTGGGGTTGGAGTGGTTTTTGGGCATTCGGTCTCTAAAAAGTTTGCCATCACTGTTATAGGCTATACAGAATAGATTTATAATTTCTTTATATCTCAGGAAATGCAAGGACCAACACAACTGCAGTATAAGGATTTCTGTAATCCTTTTATTATATATTGTACTGTGAGCATAAAAACATCAGCAATAAAAACATAGGAAAGTTTGCACTGTTTGGAACACTGACATTCTGTTTCATTTCATATGATTAGCTGATATTGAATTTCCTGAACTCACAAGCAATCCCATCTTATCTTTGATTGATGCTGGTCTCACTATAAATACAGCATATCCATCAGTTCTGCGTCCTGAGAGGCAGGTGAAGTTGATTCTGTCTTTTGACTTCAGTGCTGGAGATCCTTTTCTGGTAATTCATTTAAGATAAAGAAGCCATTTTACATGCATAGAGTTCAGGTGAAGGATAACATATCCTCCATTATTCAGGAAGACATAACTTATTTGTTTTTAAAATTATATTTGAAAAGTAATATTGATAGGAGAGAATTAGAATGTTATTCTATAAAATCTCATCCTGAGATTTCCTTAGCAATGTTGTAGCAACCTCTTGATAATTTCTTTTCATAAAATTATATATTTCTATGGGAAAACCTTCAATTTCTTCATATTTTGGTATTCCCTAGTTCCCATAAAGTTTTGGCATTATTATACAAATGTTGAAGGGAAACATGATAAATTGTTTCTCTCTTTCCAGGGTTGAATTCTTAGGAAACCTAAGCTCTAAATGCAACACAAGAAATAATTATAAATATTCATTCTAACTAGCCAGCAACTATTTCTTTATATTAAACTTTTCTTTTCCTCTTTGGTTAGACAATTAAAAAAGCTGCTGAATATTGTGAAGCACATGCAATTCCATTTCCAAAAATAGATGAGAATGAGTTACAAGATCTAGACAGTCCGTCAGATTGCTACATCTTCAGAGGAGAACACACCCCAACTATTATACATTGCCCATTATTCAACAAAATCAACTGTCCAGGTAACCTGGAAATGAGAATCATTTGAGAAAAATGTGAAAAAAATATTGGGGGCAAACAATATTGAATATGTTACATTTGCTGAATCCTCTTAATGTTTAAACTGAAACCATTTCTCTCTAATTCTTGTGTATATTGTTTTGGCATATTTTCATCTTTAATATGTATAATTTCTTTTCTTTACTCCCTATATTTTTCTATTAAAAATTTCACATAATAAACCCTCTTTAGAAAGTCAAAATGTGCTGCTCGCTTTGGCAGCACATATACTAAAATTGGAACGATACAGAGAAGATTAGAAAGTCAAAACAGGATTTTATAATGTCAAATATTTTGTTGTATTGGTAGTGGCCAAAATCTGGGTAAGGACCTTTTGTAATATGAATGTTCCTAGCTCTGGAATCCTCATAGCCTTATAAAATAATCCAATTTAAATCTGATTAGTTGTAGAGTTTGCTAGGTTTCTATCAAATGCCTCGTCACATGATTTTGCTCTTTGAGATAAAGAGATAAATGATTTTTTTAAAAAACAAACTATGTAGATCAGCTGAAAGTCATGACCAGTAATTAAAAGTCATGACCAGTAATTAAATATGCTTGTAATGTAATCTATAAATTACCTCGGGAAAGAAAGAACGAGATGCTGCCTAGGAAGCAAACGGACAAAAGAGGCAAGAGAAAGAGGCAAGATTAGGGAAGACTTGCCTTAATGGACCAAGTAGTTAACAGTGGAGGTGGGAAGTTTGTGCCTTCAGACTTGCAATGTTCTATTAATGTAGTCTTGCAATAAGACAGAATTAATTCATCTTGTCATGTTTCCTGTCTGGTTTACCTAGGAGATATGTCAGGATTGAAGAAGCCTTTGAACACCCCTGTATAAAAATCTCTTAGCATTTTTTGGTACCTGATTGGAAAGCTTTTCTACATATTAGGGCATGTGGAAGTCCAAAAATAAGCAAAGTAAATGAGCATGCTTTCTTACTCTTAGATATGAGGGGACCGTATTGCTTCAGTAAGCATCTTAAAGGGGATGATTTGTCAGGCCACTGCTGAAAAGTTGTGCCCCATTGAAGAGTAGCACCACCCTAATTGCTACTGTTGTCACTAATTATTTTTATTTTATTTTATACTTTTCAAACAACATTTACTTTATCCAAGGAAGATTAAAGATGATTGGAACCTGATGATGACCAGCATTTTCTCTTTTGCTACTCTGTAATAATTCCTTAGTAAAATATCATTTTCTTCTAGAATTCAGATAATCTGTATACTCTGTGCTTCTTAATTCAATTTTTTAAAATTTAAATTCTGTCTCATTTTTAGGTAAAATTGCTGAATACAGAGAACAATTCTCCACTTTCAAGTTGAGCTATTCTGTTGAAGAGATTGATAAATTGCTTATAGCAGCAAAGAAGAATGTAGCAAATGTTCAGCAAAAGATTCTGGAGGAAATCAAGCACATTGTAGGCTCTCCTTCATAAACTGCTGAAACAATTTTTTCCCATTCTAATGATATATTGATTGATGAAAGCTTGTTCTCCAACAAAAAACATTAATTATTAGTATCCAAGAAGGGTTATGCAGTTTCCCTTTCTCCTCTAAAAGAGAGTTAACTAATATCTGTTGAGTTTGGAGTCACATGAGATCTGTGATTTCTGCTAACATTATAGAAAATAAATGTGTACATTATTAGTAACCATTAAATTCTGAGTTCAGAATATCCAGAGAAAAAGTAAAGAATAGGAAAAATTAAAGAAAGAGTGCTATCTAGTTTGGGGTAGCAGTTAAAACATCAGACTAGAAACCAGGAGACTGTAATTCTAATCTTACCTTAGATATGAATCTAGCTAGCCATTTCTAACTAATAATGACAAAACAATTGCAAGGGGCAGTAATTAGGAGTAAAAAAAATAACTTGGAGATACAACTTTTATGACTCTTTATGACATACTGCTATATTTTCTAGTTTAAAAAATATATAACCATTTTACATTTTATATGTATTTTCAATTTATTCATATTTAGATTATTCTTCATTTGGGAAAGAGGCACAAAATATTTTTTTCTACACACAGCAAATTAGAGGAAATTTTCTAATTTCTATATTCCTGAAAATGATGAAGAATTTATTTTAATTCATTTGTTTATGAAATTACAATATATTCAGCACCATAATTCTTTTCCTTTTTCTGTATTTACAATTCTCATGAATAATTGTTGAATATTGTTTAAAGAACTATGCACCTAATTTCTCTTACAATAATAATCATGTTCATATTAATCTGTAAGATGTGTGTGAGCAAGAAATTTGTTGCAGAGTAAGAGTGGCAGAAAAACAAAGACAAAGCTATATTTGATTACATTTCTTAAAGGCACAGTATAAGCTCATGTTCCCCTGAGTACTTTATTAACATGATTCTTAATAATAATAATAATAATAATAATAATAATAATAATAATAATAATAATAATAATAATAATAATAGTTGGAAGGGACCTTGGAGGTCATCTAGTCCAACCCCCTGCTCAGGCAGGAAACCCTATACCATTTCAGACAAATGGCTGTTCAGTCTCTTCTTAAAAACTTCCAGTGTTGGTGAATTCACCACTTCTGGAGGCAGGTTGTTTCATTGGTTAATTGTTCTAACTGTTAGGAAGTTTCTCCTTAGTTCTAAGTTGCTTCTCTCCTTGATTAGTTTTCATCCGTTGCTTCTTGTCCTGCCTTCAGGCGCCTTGGAAAATAGCTTGACTCCCTCTTCTTTGTGGCAGCCCCTGAGATATTGGAATACTGCTATCATGTCCCCCCTTGTCCTTCTCTTCATTAAACTAGACATACCCAATTCCAGCAACCATCCCTTATATGCTTTAGCCTCCAGTCCTCTAAACATCTTTGTTGCTCTTCTCTGCACTCTTTCTAGAGTCTCAACATCTTTTTTTACGTCGTGGTGACCAAAACTGGATGCAGTATTCCATGTGTGGCCTTACCAAGGCATTGTAAAGTGGTATTAATACTTCACGTGATCTTGATTCTATCCCTCTGTTAAAGCAGGTGTTGGCCTTTTTGGAAGCTGCAGCACACTGCTGGCTCATATTTAAGTGATTGTCCACTAAGACTCCAAGGTCCCTTTCACAGTTACTACTATTGAGCAAGGTACCCCCTATACTAAACCTGTACATTTGGTTTTTCTTGCCTAAATGTAGAACCTTACTTTTTTCACCATTGAATTTTATTTTGTTAGATAGCACCCAGTGTTCATGTCTGTCCAGATCCTCCTGTATCCTAAGCCTGTCTTCTGGAGTGTTGGCTATTCCTGCCAGCTTGGTATCATCTGCAAATTTGATGATTTCTTGTTTGACCATGACTTACTGAGTAAAGTTTTATTGGATGCTACAGTTATTCTCTGCTACAAAGCTTATCAACAAAAGGAGTGGATTTAAATGGAAAATAAAGTGGAAGCAAAGAGATTATATTTAGCTTAATATGTTAATCCAATTTAAAAATGATATAATACAAACAAGAAAAGGAAACAGGATGGCCATCCACCTCTGTCAACTTTCTCATTAAACTCCATATATTTATGATAAATATCTGTGATATAGAGACTTTTTTGTCTAGCTAAGCTCCCCATAAAATATAAATTTGTTATGTTGTACATTTTATATGGGACCTACATAGAAGTCTACTTTCAGTGTCCCTATTGTGGTAGACTCTGTGCTTCCATGTACACAGATAAACTGCACAACAGTGTGTTTTTTCAATCTAAGGTACTTCCATATTTATATACATATACACATATATACATGCACGGTATAAACAGCATCCAATTGTCTGAATTCAGATAATAGAGAAAAATAAATGTGACTTCTTCATAGCTATAATTTCCATTCCATAAACCTGCAAGCACCAGTTTGAACAATTTCCAGAAAAAAACAATTTCCAATTGTTCTTTCTGTCGTTGCTTTCAAAACAAAAAGATCATGGGATGAATTGTCCACACTGAAACCAACAAATATGGGAATGCCAAAAGGGGCATCCAGCTAGTGCTTCCTCACATTCAATTTTTTTTTTTTTTTGTCTTTATCTCATTCAGAATTTGTTTTCATGGCAACTGGACTCAGTGAAAGGAAACTATAAAATTGTCATCGTCATTTAGTGAAATTATACCAAGGCACCACCATAGAGGCTTAACAGGAACAGAGAAAACATGCAGGGGGTGGGGGGAGGGAGAGAAGCAAGAATTCTCATCATGAGAAACTAACCATTCAGATGACCTGGCAGGACTATTAGAACACTGTCTTCTTGATTATTCTATGCGTTTTGTAGCTGAGCTGAAAATAAATTAGTTCAAGATCAAAAAAAATAATAATAAGATTGAGGACATAAAGATCCCAGTCTAGTGCAAATAAAAATATCCAAGGAAGCTAATAGGAGCAGTGCATCATTCATAAAATGAAGCCAATATTTTTTAAAGATGACGTATTACAATATTTTTCCATGCTCTACAGTTTATTCCCAACATCTGATTGACTTAGACAAAGACCCTTGTAGTGGTGGAATTTAAACTGCTAAAGAAAGTTTAGTATTGAAAAGAGGGCAAACATATTTTTTAAGTTTGAAAGAGGAAATAGGTTGTACTGAACAACATATGGAACAAATCAATGAACAATTAAATGCCTTATTGTCTAAGTAAAACTTCTTTCACAAACAGAATGGCAGCAAGGATTGGGGTTTTTTTGTATGTAGAGCTGGGGGTTTTTTGTATGTAGAGCTTTGCTATGTAGAGCTGATGACTTGCCAAAACCCAATTTATGCACAACTGCATATTTAAGCCCCAAAGATCTTCATTAAAAATTGGATTCTCTTCATCAAGTTAAAAATGCCAGATTTTAAACTATTTTTTTCAAGAAAAAGTTGCATTTTCACTAATCACAGGAGGAATCTGCAATTTCAAGGAATGCTGAATTTTGTAGCTGTTCCCGTGTTCTGCTCAATCAGCTTACATTTTTAACAACAACAAAAAAGGAAAAGGGGATAAGGAAGAATTTTTTTCCCTTCTTCAGTTGTAATCACACTGTACTGATGTGTTGAAAGCAAACTGTTGCTTGTTTTCTTGAATTAGTAAGTTACTAAACATTTGATAGTATTGATAAATCAGTATTTATAAATTTAATCACTTTGGTTCAGATTTATCCTTTCTCCAAAGATTTATTTAAAAAAATAAAAACAAAGTTTGAAATCTGAACAAAATAACATGCAAAAATTGTATATTCTTCCATGCTACTGATCAAGCAGGGGTAAGATATGATGTTACAAATGTTCCTATACATACGTGTTTCCCCAAAAATAAGGTCTACCCTGAAAATAAGCCCTAGCTTGATTTTTGGGGGTGAGCCTAAAAGCGAGCTAGGGCAGGGGTGGGGGTGGAGATGGCCCACCCGCCCCATACCCACTTACCATTTCAACCTGCCTCTCCTTGGTGGCCCACTTCTTCTGCAGCATCTCCTGGCCTGCATTTTGCTGTTAATGGCCTTTCCAGAAGGCCTCTGCAGCTGGGAATCCATAGCTCGGTTCTCGGATGCAGAGGGATTCATTGTCTAGTTGAAATAAAAATCACAAGCAAAACTTACAAGAGAAAACAATTGTAATTTATTTGTATTCCTTTTCAAAGGGGGTGCTCCTTGTGCATGCAAGCACATAGTGGACACACCTTAAATCTTTAATATTCATTCTTTATATTCTCCATTGCCATTACAAATTTACCTCCCACTTCTTCTTTATTGGCTTGAAATCTTTCTTCTCTCTCTCTCCCTCCCTCCCTCCCTCCCTCTCTCTTTCGCTTTCTTTCTTTTTCTTTCTTTCTTTCTGTCACAAGTTTTTCCTTCATGAAAAAGGAATATCCTTGAGATGAATTCTACTGATACTGGAAATGGATTTCTCTTTTTGGAGACTTGTGTATTTTTGTTTCTTTTGTCAGGTTAATATAAGAATTACTAATAAATATGGACATAAATCTTCATAAGTATAGCAGAATGTTTTCTTTATTATTCAATTAAAGGAATTATCTTTTGCTAGTCAGGCAGATGGAGAGTTGACCTTTTATTTTTAAGAATAAAGAAATGTACTATATTCATTTTTGTAGTATAGTATTTTGAAACTACTCTTGAAATCCTTTTGGATGCTTCAGCTGGTGAAAAGTATGGCAGTGAGTCCAATCTTTGGGATCACTAGGATGGCCCATATTATACCTCTGCTCCTCGAACTTCACTAGCTATGTCTACTTCTGGGTGCAGTTCAAGTTTTTGATTATCATTTCAAAGCCCTTAATGGCATAGGTTGAAACTACTTGATGAACTGCCTCATTCTACTAGGATAAGCCTGTCTTACTCATGCTGGCAGAGAAGGTCTACTCTCTGCCAGAATGAGTAGATCCCACCAGTCAAAGAACTCTGTCTGTCAGGATCCAGAAGAAGAGCCTTATCTGCTGCAGTGTCTCCCTTTGGAACATCTTACCCTCTAAAGTAAGATCTGCTCCCACCCTCCTATCCTTCCACAAGAGTCTAAAGACCTGGTTCTGCCAGTTGGTCTAAAGTCCAAATGGAAGAGTCATGCTAGAGGTGGCTACTGGATTGATGCAGTCTCCCCTTCCTTGTTCTCTGCTCTTTACTTTTTCATCTTTCTTTTTTGGTAATCATATTGTTGTATTCTTGTTGTGTTCTTTTTCTTTTTGTTCTTTTATTGTTCTAGTGTCTTAACTTCTGTTCTGTTTACCTGATGAGATTCTTAATCATCTAGATCATAGTTGTCTCAAAAGTGCTTTTTCAAAAGGTAACGGGACTATTCTTTTCCTGAAGAAGAAGAGGAAGACATTTTGCTTCTCATCCAAGAAGCTTCATTGGTTTTGGCAGGATTGTGGGGGTAATGGTAGGATTAGTTCTCATAGGATGGGGGGTGGAGTTGGAAGGATCTATTTCATTAGTACTTTCCATGAGAATTCTTGAGACCACTTGAGAATTTATCTGTGCCCTTAGATAAGTCATTTTTTTTCAGTGCCATTGCAAGTTCAAATGGTCATTGAACAAAAGGTTGTAAGTTGAGGGACTATCTATTCACACATATATGCACACAAATCATTTTGAGTACAGGTTGAACTTGCTCAGTAGAGTTGTCTGGTTTTCGGAGTGGGAGCTTGCAAATCCAGAAGATGGACATCAATATTATGTCAACAAAGCATCATGATTATTATTTATTAAATATCTGTATGGCAGTATAATAATTATGCCAATGCAGGA